TGTGTGTGTGTGTATGTGTGTGTGTGTATGTATGTGTGTGTGTATATATGTATATATGTATGTATATGTATGTATGTATGTGTGTATGTATATATGTATGTATGTGTGTATGTATGTATGTGTATGTATGTATATGTATGTATGTATATGTATGTATGTGTATGTATGTGTGTGTGTATGTATGTATGTGTATGTATGTGTGTATGTATGTATGTGTATGTATGTGTGTGTATGTATATATGTATGTATGTATGTGTACATGCACACATTGACTGGTAGTAAGTCTCTGCACTGTAAAAACAAACTTGGAAATCCTGCAGCACTATGTTTCAATGGCATTTTCAAAGGTCTTTTTTTGTTCCTTGTCCTTCCTGTACCCCCTTCTCCACGCTGCCCTTCTGCTCCCACCACATTGTTAAACACCCTTTGTTCCAGCATTCCCCTTACCCTCTTTTCCATGATGTCCTCTCCCATGGCTGCTTACTGGTTTCCTGACTTCTGTGGGTACTCTAGCTTAAGCACACATATCTGAATGTCCACAACTAGCATCCACACACAGAAAGAAGATATAGTGCTTGTGTTTCTAGGTCAGTTACCTCACTCAGAGCGATTGTTTATAGCTCCCTCCATTTATGTGCAGATTTTATAATTTCATGGTTTTTTTTTACAAATGAATAATAGTCCCTTGTGTAAATACACCACATGTCCATCCTTCATTCCTCAGCCGATGGGTGTCTGTGCTGTCTCTACTCTGTGGCTATTATGATAGAGCAGCAATAAACATGGATGATCAAGTATTTCAGCCATAGCATATAGAGTCCTTTGGGAATAGTTTTGGGATCATACGGTGGATATATTTCTAGCTTTTGAGGAACCACTACACCTATTTCACAATGGCTACACCAGTTTTCACTCTCAACAACAGTGAATAAGTGTTCTCACAATCAAGCCAGTATTTTTTTTTCTAATCTTAGCTATGGTAACTTGGGTAGGGTGAAATCTCAAAACAGTTTAAATGTATATTTTTGTCATGGTCACAGATGTCTAAAATATTTCTCAGCCATTTGTATTTCTTCTTTTGAAAATTCTGTTTAATCCCATGCCCCAGTTTTAGATTTGGTACAAACCTCCCAATTGGTGTTGAGCTTTTTGAAATCTTTGTGTATGCTGGACATTAACCGTTTCTTAGATGTACAGCTTATAAAGACAATTTACCCATTCTATAGGCTGCCTTTTCACTGGGTTGTGGTGCCCTTGGCTGTGCAGAAGCATGGGATCCCATTTCTCAACTGTTGGTTTCAGTGCCTGTGCTACGTGTTTTGACAAAGGGACTCATGTACCCCTGGCTGCTGTGAGACTTGGTATGCAGTATGTATGCCACAGGAAAAGCACTATACCAGCTGCAGTCTGCCCTAGCCCAGTACAATTTCCTTCCTACTCCCCCTCCCCAGCTTCCTGACAACCTGCCTCCGGGGCACCAAGGCTGTTGGTTTCACTTGCTTAGCTTTTCTCTTTTTCTGAGTGGATTGCACGTGAGTGTACTGTGTCCTTTTACAGCACTGGGAAGTTTTAATACAACCTGGAATTCAAGTGCATTTCCCTCTTATTTTGCTTTGTGTTACATCTTGAGGAGTTACTGTTACTGTTTCACATTTCACCCAGTTTCAAATCATGTTGAATACTTGTTTAAACTAATTTTTCATTGTTGATCTTTTAAGCTTAAATTGTTTTTCAGTTGTTTGTGGTAAATATTTAAAAAAAATTTTTTTCTCCAAAAGTGGGTTTATAGTTCATCAATGGGTAAATTACCAATACGGAGCCAGGTAAAGTTATTAGGGTATTTATTAGGGAGATGCCTCACTTACAGAGCAACCTAGCCAGCCGGCAGGGAACAGAGTAAGTACAGCAAGCCAATGATGAAAGGGAAGAAGGGACCACATGTGAGTTCCCTCACTCTTAAACCTCCCTCACGTCACCTTGACCATGCCCTAGGGGGTATGGCCAGGTACACCTGTAGCCAGACCCGAGGAGGCGTGGTTAATGTGTCCCCTATAGTTCATTTTCTAAGTGTCCTCATATTTTGAGTGACTGAAATGTATTCACTTATGAACAGTTCTTAGCTAAATGTTAACTTTTTTCTTCAAGTAAGGACCAGGTGAGGATGCTGGCTGTCTTTGAGTAAGGAC